AACATAAAATTACAAATCACATTTTGCGTTCCATTTAAGGATAATTGCGAGCAATCGCTGACGTGCGATGTCGGTTTCCTGATAAAAGTATTAGCGATGATCGTAATATTGTAATTAAATGAAACTACACGTATACGAGGGAAACGATAATCCTGTATAGATTTATATGTGCAATATATACGTATATTATTTACAATAGCCGCGAAACATAATATTGAAAATTTCTGGCAAATAGATTATACCTATGGCGATATTGAAAAGGCTTTCGAGAATTTTTTACACGAAACATTTAATGAAAGATAAACATATAAAGGATGTTATCAAACTTTTATTATTACTTTAATATAATATCTACAATAATTATATAAAAATATATGCTTAAAAAAATTTGAAGAAAAGAAAGGAACAAAATTATTTAAAAAAAAAAAGAAAGAAGTTTATTTATGATTTACATGCTTCAAAAATTTTTATTTGATAAACTTTTGCGACAGGTAACTTTTTTTAGAAAGAAACATTTTTTCTCTGCAAAAATATGGAATCATGAAGTCTTAGATTAGAATTAAAGTTGCGCGTCATATAAGAGAGCCTGTATATCGAAATATAATAAACGTAACAAACTACTAGATCTAAGATTGAAAAAAATAACATGGTTTATACACTACTGCGAGCGTTGTTAACGGAATTTACAGTATGGTGTCTTATAGAGGCTACTATCATGATATAGGTGACACAGGGAAGTATTATTCGAAAGGATTGTGCTTTAGAGCACAAAGCTATTATTATTATTATTATTAAACAAGCAGCGTTAAGCTCCGCACTTGGAACAAGAGCGGAGAAACAATGATATCTCTCTGTGTCAATTCGAGATGTTGGTCCATATTGGCGCGCGCTGACTAACTATTGTATCAACCACCACGTTTGTACAGTCGCAGGGACGTGTTTCTGTCAGCGTTCTCCTTTCCTCAACGTCGTTTCGCATTTTCAAGACAAATAGTATCGTGAATATCGATTGTGATGCCATCCGCGAGAGTTGCATGATTATGTTATGCTCTGCATTGCGTTATATTATATTATACATGTAATATTGTACATACATTTTAAGGTCATTGGATCGAAAGGTCATTGGATCGCCGAATCGATCTTTACCATCACGTTACGATGCTACGACCACCGTTCTGCGGTCGTAACTTTGGTTTCGAAACTACCCGTAATGCGATAACGTAAACACCACGAGTACGAGATATTTCGACCGATAAAAGCGACGATATGGATGCCGTTGGTCTCATTTAATTTGGTCTTTTATTTGCTCTTTGTAGATATTATTCGACGATGATTGTTTCTGTACAATGTCCGAAAGAAACGAAGCGAGAACGAACGAGCTGTTTAGCAGTTTTATTTAACGCACTCGACACCTCGGATGTATCTGAATTTGAAATAAAATGAAATATATTCATGCGCGCTCCAGTAAAACTCTAGTGAATATGTATCGAAATGGTTGCAGCCATTACAGAATCACTGACGGCTGCAGCAGTGCTGTATAGATATGTACATATATGTATATATTTTTGTGTAAACTTTTATCCATATAAGTATATTACCCATGTATATGTATGTACATACATATCAGTCCTATATATAGGGTGTCCTGTAAAAACGCAAGGAGAGAGTTCTGAGATCATTTTGAGACGAAAATTCTAATTAAAATGTTGAGGTTACAATAATGTTTAGATATCATAAATATCAGTAATTAGAAATATTAATAATTTTATTTTTGCATAATTATCTTAATATTTCGTAATCTTTATATTATCAATATTAACATCGGAAGATAATTAGCTTTTGATTTTAACACTTTATGTTGTAAACTTTACGTTGCAAATTTTAGGCTAATAATTCAAAAATTATCTTCTATAATTTAGTATTAAAATTTTCGTCTTCAAATGAACATAGGAATATACTTTTAAGCTGTTACGCTCTTTACGGGACACACTGTTTATGTATTACGCATACATAAACTACATATTTACTGTGTTCGTTTGTCGGACATATTACATGGATAGATATTATATAAATACTAAGGGGTATTCATCCACATAACGCTTTTTTTTTTCGATACATTAAACACTTTTTGCGCGCGTAACTCTTTTGATGAATATATAAACGAATAATTAATATTTTAACGCATCTGACATGCTCGCGATGTTTGTAAGAAAAATCTTTTCGTGTACTAGCAAATTAGAGGGGAAAAAATTCATTGTAATTAGGCACCTTCGCAGATAGTAATGCGAAGGAAAAAGTATAACTACATTAAATATCCATAAAAAACAATTTTTATTAAAGACAAATGTTGCCTTTATCATATTCTGATAAATGTTCTACCGAGTTGCAGCAAACAAGACATTTTTTGAAAGAGACGTAGTGTATTTTCTATCTTGACCAGTTAAGCAGCTAAAGCTTTGAACTGAGAGTACTGAGACCTGTAACGAAACAGAAAGATTTAACCACTAGAAGAATCCTAAAACGAAATGTAGGTTCTAAGTAACCGCGATGGTATTGGAAGATAAATCGATTTCATGAGCTACATGTATATAAAGTCGGGATTATGTATGTGCTGGAAAATTTATGAGTGCCGGTAAATGTATCTAGTGGAAATCATTTACTGATATCTGTTAAAACATATATTATTAGAATATGAAATACAAAAATCTTAAAAACATAAAAATATGAATTATAAAATATTTTAAATAAACAGTATATATGTGTTTCTATATAAAAGTATATAAATTCTCGTGGGAATTGAAATTGAGGAAAATTGTTGCGAATTTTCTGGTTAACAACAAGAAAATATCGTTTGTTAAAGACTAGACAATATAACATCTCGTTAATTAAAGTTATAATTTCCGACGGCGAGATCACGATTGTATTTTGCATCACCTCTAGCTTTGGATGTAAACAACTTTCGCATCCTTTGTCATGCAATTATGCATTTTCTGTCGTTCGCATAGAACAGTAGAATATATAGGACAACTCATAATGTTAATTATAAAAGGATTTTCTAACACAGTTGAAAACCCTTTCTTACACTCAAAAAAGTGATCTTGCAGTTATAGCGAAAATTATCTAAGTATGAAAAATAGCTAAAATAGATAAATTTCTATAGCGATATTAGATATGTATTGCATCTAATCATATAGATGACAGAGATAGAATTTAAATTTATATTATAAATTTTATACGTATGATATATAATTTTCTATCAGATACAAAAAACAGCTATAATTCTAGCTGAAGCAGCAACATATTTTTTTGTATGTAATGAAAATATTAAGATGAACTTTGAAATTATCCAAATTAAAAAAATCATTTTATAAATTAATTTTTAACAGAAAATTTAATGACAAAACTTTATTTTATTTTATTTTATGTTCAATACATTTTTTTTATTCACACATAGATATTACTTTAACAAAATTTTGATTTGAGATCTTAGCAAAATATCTAATATCAAGAATTAAAAAATTATGAAAAATGTAAAAATGTGATAGTATGCGTGGTATGCTTGTGACTTTTGTTAAGCAAAAATTGTCTTCAATTAGTTAGAGAATGCGCTTGTAAGTTTGGATTTATCGTAGAAGCGTTCTGTTTATTTTATTTTGCTTTCTGTTTTCCTGTTACTATTCTCTGTCAAAGGTAATTAAAAGTATCCGGTACAGTAAGTAGATTACGTAACGTATCCACAATTCTGTTTTCCACTCTCTAGATCAGGCAACTACCATGTAACTTTTACGACTTCCGATCGGAAGTTTCTGATCGCGATTAGTCATGATTCCTGTATCGATTTTCGGTGGCTACGAGATGAAAAACAGCCGAAAATCGCAACATTTAGCTTTTTGGCAGTCTCTCATTCTGATCACATACTATATTTCGTTTTGCTTTCCAAATCCCAAGGGATCACTGATCGTTGAGACTTTTTATGTACGCAAGATCAGTCACAGGGTGAAAAACGAGAACATTTATATGCCGTTCCGATCAATGATTTGAACTCGAATCCTGAGCAAACGAACACGAACAAATATAAGCATTCGCGACATAGATGCCATTTGTACTCACTGAAGGAGCTTGTTTGTTCGTATTTGTTCGTGTTTGTTTGCTTGGTCTGGATACGGCTTGATGAGCTCTTGGACACGTGATCGGTTCTCCAACGGCAAAATAGGATATTGATTTAAGTGACATATACGAAATACGAAATACGAAACACGAAATACGAAACACGAAATACGAGATATTTCAAACAAAAATGTAGGAAAGCATTTTACATATATCGAAACAAAGCTTTGCAGTATTATATTAACGATACGTAGCTTTCTGATGTAGCTATTTTGGTAAAGCAAAACGATGCCGGAAAATTTTCAAAAATTTTAAATGATAATTTTTGGTTTTATGATCAAATATTGTATGTCATTGAATGCTGGAATTTGTGATATTTATGTATTATTTAGCCAATGATATTCGATATCTGTGGGCGATGGTAAAAAAAACGTTTTTTTTTTTAAATCGCGTTTCAACATACGAAATGTCATCGGCAGTTTACGTGAGTCAATTCGAAAGTTTATAATATCTTTCCTCAATCTTCTAATAAACTGTTTAAATACAATTTTATATTATATTATTTGATATTAAATTAAAACCTTTAATTAAATTTACACAATGTACGAATTGAAATAACTTATTTAAATAATGAAAAAGAAATTAAGTCGACTGTCTATCCGCAATCAGTATTGATTTATATAAGTAACGATATTTTTATTAAAATTCAGATGATGTACAGACAGAGTTTTCTTTTAAAATTTATTCTGAAAATATGATAATTGTGATACAGTACAATATTTTAAAGATTTTGGTAAAAATCTTTAAAATATTGTAGTGTACCACAACTATCATATTTTCAGGGTAAATGTTAAAAGAAATCTCTCCGTGTGAAATTCATTATGAAATTGCAGGTGGATCGGATGGAAAAGGAGGAAGGGCAGGTAGAGGGTGGTCTGCAGTCTTCCGGTGGTGTTTCTGATTCAAAGATGGGCTCCGGACCTGATTCCGGCAGTAGCGCTCCCTCTTCGGTTCCCCAGTCGCTGGTTACTTCGAGGGACGAGGAGGATGATGAGGATGAGGAGAGTAGTGATAAGCGGTCTAATTGCCACGGAGGATCAAGGTTAGTTATTTTTGATGCATCCTTGCACCGTAATCCTGATTTTAGCCCTTAGCATTTTGATACACAAATCGAAAGATGGTTTCGCGCCATAGATTATATGGAATAATATAATATTACATACTATTTAAATTAAATATATCCAAATCTTTGATTACGATACATAAACATGTAAACGTTAAAATCGATATTATTAAAAGATTGCTAGCGTGAAAACTAGCGATTGTTCTTTCCTTTAATTTGATATGAGTGCTGTTTCCACATCGGATATATCGGTTAACAATTTAACGTTAATCTCATTAAGCATGAATTCGTTAACGTATACGTTCTGTTACGTGTGAGTAAACACGTAATTATATTCGTCACGTAATTTAGCTTGAGATAAAAATTTATGAAATAAATACAGCTTCGTCCAATAACAAATTTTTATCTTCTTTTGTATGGAGCTGCATAGAAATTAAAACAAATTACATAATTGATGAATGCATAACGTACACGTTGCACGAAGAATATCAGTTATTAATAATGACGCTGGATTTATAAAAAAAAGTAATTGAAAGAAAGAAAAAAAAACACGGAAATTTATCTACACACATGCGCATTTATTCGGACATAGCTACTTTATGTTTCTCATTTACGCAGGAGATAACTACTCTATATTTCCTGTCTCTTTGTGCAATTGATTAATTGCATACTAATTTAAGCGTATCAATCAACTGCACTGATTTAGGTGTCCAATCAAGGAGATCCAATTAATTTCTATAATTTTGATGTGTAATCGCGTATAGAGAGAGATTTTGGAAATAGAGGCAAACCGCTGCTACTGCTGCCTTTTACGTGAACTGCGAGAAGAAAAATGGCAAAGAGAAAAATTTTACAGGTGCATCTTTGCGAAGGAGGTTCATAGAAAATTAGATAATGCTGAACCTGATATACAAGATTCTCTTTTACCCATTTTCCTCGACATTTTCCTCTCTTTACTCACGAAAGAGCGACGGCCGTTCCAGTTAACAGCAGCACACTGTATAATCTTGGAACTGGTTTGTCTCTTGGTACGCGTGTCGCCTTGGTTCAAATTTAAAATAATTCGCATATCGAGAATGCGGAAAAACTCGCTAAATTTTGTTGTTTAATTTCTAAATATAATATATTAATATTTAATTTCTTTACTATTATTATGCGAGCGTTCCTCGAATTTCATTGTGATTGTGACAATAGTCAATTGTGGTGCATTTTCTGCAATGTTTGTGCCTTGTGCAAACTATAATATTTTGAAAATTTTATTCGATACTGGGCTTACGTTTGATCCCGCTCACAGCGAGAGTGCTCTAAGTACCGATTTTGCTTTCAATGCGCATTAATATCCAATATTTAACAATACCTGAATACGGCAATCTGCGTTATAACATACGATATCTAGAATATTTTAGGATGTAACGGATAAATTGTGCCGTTACAGCTTAAAAAGCAATACAAATTTTTTGTTTTCCCATGTTACGTCGGACTCCCATGACTCTTTTCTGTCGTGGAGATCTGAAGTTCATTTGAATATACAATAAAGATAGTTACGAATGACAGATAAATTGAACCATTACATCTTAAAAAGCAATAAAAATTTTCTTCTCCATGACAACCTAAAGTAAAGATTCCAGTATCTCCTCGTAAATGTCAGCCCAAGATAAATTAAAAATCGATGCACGTATACAAACGGCGGAAGATTAAAGAGATACCGATGATGCCCTCCTTGGACACGCGACTAGAAAAAAAATGGTCGAAGCAAAGTGCTTCTCGATTTGCGTCGCTTCTTCCCCTCAGCTTCCTTGCGGTCCAGAGCTTGAACGCGACCAAATCGGTCAAAATTAAAAAAAACCCTCAGACTTAGACATCCGGATCTTGGACGTAACAATAGACGGGAAATATTGATTTTAACCCTCTGACAATATCGCACATTGTTTCAAACTTTATCAACATTTTTCGTTTTAAATTTACTATTAAATTTTTTTACTCGCAATCATCTCTCTCGGATAAAAAATATTGTCAATGATGAAAGGAAAATTAACTTGTTCTTATTTATTACTGTCTTTCTCATTATAATCTCTCTCTTTGCCTTAATTTTACGGTTTTTTCTGATGAAACGAGTTCTAGGATTTAAATTTTATAAAATTTATTTTGAAAATTTATATATTTTATACCTCTGAAGTAGAAAAGCGAAACTGAAACTTGTAAATAGTATTTCATTCTAAGACGAAAATAAGCACTGTATTCTAAAGTCATATAATCGTTCTTGGCAGGTTTTACGAAAATTTGGCAAGCGTTTCATGTTTGTGTAAATTCCTCGTTTCTCGATATGTTAAAAATGTAAATCATTGTCGATATTATCTCTGTTCTGCTGGAAAATATCACGGAAGCTGGACTTATTTCCAGTTTTTAAAGACGTCTCGCTTCGCATATACGCTTCTTCCAACAGTTTCAACGAACTTTCCACGATTATGGCGGAGTATGGGTGATCACGTAATCTAACGAGTACTTGAGTTTTGATTAAAAATCACCGCTGGCATGCACTTCACGTTCTCTCGGACGGAAAATGCGCGAACGGCATTCGTAGCGAGATGGTTACAAGTTTGCTTGAGATGCACGAATGCATTCGATTTACCGTCTCCATATTTCAATTAAAAAATAAATAACTTCGGTTTATGATATCGTACAAAACTTAGAAATGTCACAATGTAATGCGAATCTAACAAATCCAATATCTTTCTAGAATATCATATCTAGAATATCATATCGTTGCATAAACGACTCAAAAAGTCATCATTTTGTTTATTACATTTTAAATTTTAATACGTTAATAACAATATAAAATATATGATTCATCATTTAAAAGAAGATGAGAAAGAGAATTAAAATTAAAAATTTCTAAGTTATAAGATCTATCATTATCGCGTGATATCTGCCTTAATCTCATTATGTAAGCTTTCTCTCATTAAAAGCAGACTTTCTCATTGAAATACGTCTTCATCCGAGGAAAAAATTCAGCTTCGCGATAAAGACTGGTTCATTCGATATCTCCGCGATATTACAGTGTTCGCCGCGATCGCGCGATAAGAAGATACTGCCTCGAGACATAATTCTTGTAAATTTCGGAAGAAAATCTCTCACGTTTTGCATCCAAGCGAAAATGGGTCGTGTCTCCATCTCCGTCGAACGCAAGAGTTATAATTGGCCCGAGAATAATAATCCACGTTGGAGAGATCACCGGATCGGCGTTATTAGAGCCGCACTAATGTCATTACAGACATTAAATCTGGTTAGCGCATCGATATACAAAAAACGTTATCTTGTTGTAGTATTCTCTAGCATTTTCGTACATCTCAGTTTCGCTCTTTAGTCTTTTTTCGATTAATTATGAAATTTCAGAACCGGTACATATTGCAATGCGGAAAGCTAAAATTGAATTTGATCAAATTTAATTTATCTTCTTTTAATATTTTTATTTAGCATTTTGTAAAAATATCCTAAAATCTCCAAAATGAAAAAATGTGGAAATATAAAAATTATACTATTATATAATATTAATTCATTCCCTACAGACAAAAATGGTTAAGTAATTTTTATTTTATAGGACTAGTAAAAATATTTTAGCTATTTTTGTCGAAATTATGATAAACTTTACTTGCCTGAAATTTAAAATACCAGAAGCAGAAAGTAAAAATTACAATTATAATAAATTAATTTTAAGTAATTGTATCTTACAATATAAAGTAAATCATGTTATTCACAAAACTGTAAGCGAACAAGATTTATACATTTATTATTATATCAAAAAATATTTGTTGATAAAGTAAATTCTATTGAAATTTATGGTAATTTATAGATTAATAAATAAAATCATAAAATTTATTCCACGAAATGTAAATATCTTATATCTATACGATGATCATTTACCAAAAAAATAAAATAAATTTCATATTTATAAGCGGATGATGCCTGTTCCTATATGGATTTGCCACTTCTATTTTAATTTCACTTTAATATATATTGCAACAAAAAACATAAGCTTTTCTTTCTTCCTCCTCCTCCTCCACTCCTCCCCCCCCCCCCCCCCCTCCCCCCCCCCCCTCCCCCCCTCTCTGTCTCTCTGTCTCTCTAAGTTTGATACGCATGGCGAAGCCGTCTCCAAGTAAGATATTTACGCTGTCCATTTTATTCCATTATTTCTACTACTGATAATTAATTTAAGATCTCAAGTAATAACGCAATCTGCAGTGTTTTTTTTACAAGAACTTAACGAAGAGAGAGAGAGAGAAGAATTGATCCATATTTAATTTTCATTTGCTTAAGCTAAAATGGAGATAAATGAAAAGATTTATACAGTTTTCTTGCTAATTACACGTAAAAAAAGACTAGGCAAAAAAATACGCTCGCACGTTTTCCGCTTCGTACTCGTCAGTGTTTCCTACGTTCCTTCTGTTTCTTCCGTAATGATTATCATGGTTAAATGATGGATTTGAAAGGGATACACGAGGAATTCGCATGAACAAGTGAAATTTATCATCGGAAAGTCATACTTGATTTCGAGTATCTAGTATTATCGAGTATTGTCATAATTTCTGTTATAAATTTTGACCATTGTTCTGATCTGTGACGTTAGTCAATAGCAAAGGATCTTTCCACGAAACATGACGATTTCGATAGCACATAGGAGTATTTCAAATCAAAAACTTTCTATTAGATAAGGTGCACTACATGTATAATATCGGTTAAAATCGCTTGTAGATATATATAGGTCGATTTTCAGCTTACGTTCTCAGCCAAATTGCTCTTTTGTGGGAGAGTGCTTACTGTATCGCGACCAAGCACGCGAGATTCTTTGTCCGTTCAAATTAATGTAGAAACGGGTGAAGTTGAATTCGCTTTTCGCTATAGTACTCATTAAATCTAAAGCTAACGTGAGTTTTACATGCACGATCGCGTTCGACCGCAATGTTCGTCATTCCTAGAGC